ATAAATGTTTTGAAATAGAGGATACTATATACATATAAATAAAATATTTGTATTTTAAACCATTAGTAATTTGTGATTCATATCTACTTTTTTTGTTATTTATTTAAATTATTTTTAATATTTAAGCTATGCCCATAATAATTTTTTTTAAATTTTCAAAACTAACGCAAATTTATGTTTGAGTGTCCTAAAATAAGTATTTTATTAAATCCTAGCCGATGTCTAAAAAAAATTTAAATAACAAATTCTATCTGAAATATTTAAATTAAATTTTAGGTATAAAATGATAAAAACTATTTAAAATTCATTTACTCCACCTAAATTAATATTAAAAAGATCAAATTATAAAAATTATGAAAACAAAATGGGATAATATAATATTTTTTTAAATATATAATTTTGTGAAAAAAAAAATAAATTGATAATCGGATATAAAATTTGTAACAAGTTTTTCGTATAGCTATAATAGCAAGTTTATGAAAAAGGTACTCTCCAATCAAATTAAAAAATTTTTTTAATTTAATAAAGATATTCTATACCCTTAATATTTAAAAAAAAGACTTATCACGCTTTTTTCTATAAAATTTAAAAAAGATATTGTAAACAAATAATATTGGATTTAAAAATTTATAACTTAAAAAAGATATAATATTTTTTTTGTATTTAAAAAAAATTCTTTTTTCTACATACTTAAATTTAAATTCTTTTTAATTATATTAAACATTTAAGCAAAACTTAAAATAAATTTCCAGGTAATGTATAAACTACTATCATTTCTTACTGCTATTCTCTTCATCTGCAAATTTGATGGTAAGTAAATCATTTTTTTTATCATTAAAAATATTACTTGATTGGAAGTTGTCTAATTTTATTTTTATTAGTTTGCTAATTTTATAAAATCAAATATTAAAATAAATCTTATTTGTAATTCTTTTTCGAACCATTATGATATTCAAATTTTCTGATAATCAATTTAATTTATACAATTTAAAAAACTATTTGCATTTTAAATATAATTTTTAATATAAAATTATATAAATTCACCTAGATAAAATTTATTTCATTAAATATTATTTTACATTGAATCGCAAATCAAATAAAGATCTAACCCCAATCTTATTTGATTTTTTAAAAATTTGTATAATGACTGTATTTGCTTCTAATGGCCACCTTTATGCAAAAATTCAAAAATAAACTATTTAATTTTTAATATCTCAAATAATAATTTAGCCAAAATCAAATTTAAATAATAGCTCTTTAATAAATCGTCATATTAATAATAAAAAAAAGTAAACTGATTTTTTTCTTTTGAGATTTTATTTAAGATAGACATAATACTTCTTTTTATTTGTGCAAAATCCTAGACTGGGATGATCATTTGTCCTAGATTTCTTTCACTTTAAATATTAAAAATGAATCTTTTGTATTCCTAAAATTTGTTCGGCTCTTAATATTTTCGTGATATGCTACATGCCAGCATTCTTTGCTTACTAATTTATATTAAATCTTTAGGAATAATTATTTTAAAAGGGCATTACAGACTTACTCGAGCCGCCAACCTCTTAAAACAGGATTTGCTATATGCAGTTGAAGAAAATATCATTTATCAAAATTATTCTTATTGTTTTTAATGTTTATGAATCTTTATTTGTTTTTATACTGTTTAACTGCGCCTTAGAATCTTGAAATATGAAATCTTACTAGAATCAATTTTTTTTGAAATAAATAAGATGCATATATGGGATTTTAGACAATCTCATACTACCACGCAACTTATACATATTTGATAATATATCTTTCATTGAGTGTTTCCTACATATAAGTCAAATGGAAACCTTGAGAATTATCTTAAACTAATAAATCATAAATATTATTACAATTACTCATCGTTAAAATTAGTAAATGAGGAGAAAGAAAGATTTTGTTTTTATTTATTATATTGGATATACTATTTAGTTTTTACTTTTCACTAATAAAATTTTATCTGGACATGCTCATATAATAAAAATATAGAATCTTAAGGCTAAGTCATTAATATTTGAATGAATCTATCCGTTTTATTTTATAATCCAAAATTTTTCCGGTCAACTTTATTTTTCATATCCCTTTATCTGTGATTTTATTAGAAAGATATAAAAAAATATTTTATTGTTAAAATTTAACCGGTATTGATAATAAATAAATTTAATATTGTTCAATGGTTGCCAAAGAGCTATTCACTGACCCTCTCTACTTCCTACATATTTTCCTAGCTTTACAAATTTAATAGTATATATAATAAGTAATGATTTATTATTTGTTGTATAATAATATTTAAAATTTTATGATGCAATATTTTTATACATTGGAAATTATTTCTTACAAATATTATAATCATAAATTACGTAATAAATAAATATTATAATATTATTTTATTACCATTACGAAGTTGTTATGACTACTCTAAATTATTTAATATTATTTTCTAAAAAAAAGCAACTATAAGCAAATTTATAAAATTTATTTTATAATATAATAATAATATATTATAGTAATATACTAAATATTAAAAAACGGAAAAAATATTATAGCGTTTACACCCTCAGTCTCGAGTCTAAATATTTATAATCAGAGTTTTAAGTTAGAGTTAATTAATTTCTTTTTTCCTTTAAATTTCAACTATATGTAATAAAATTGAGGCTGTGATATTTAAATTTGGCTAGATTTCAATCAAAAAAAAATAATAAACGATTTGAAATAGGTGCTATATACATACATAATTCTGACTTAAAAATATTTGCATTTTATACCATAAGTAATTCGTGATTCATATCTACATTTTTTTTTGTTATTTATTTAAATTATTTTTATTATTTAAGCTATGCCCATAATAATCTTTTTTAAATTTTCAAAACTAACGCAAATTGGTTATGTTTGAGTTACCTAAAATAGGTATTTTATTAAATCCTAGCCGATGTTTAAAAAAAATTATAACAAATTATATCTGAAATATTTAAATTCAATAGTTAGAATATAATAGATTATTTTAAATTAATTTATTCCACCTAAATTGATTTAAAATAACTAAAATTTAAAAATTATGAAAAAGAAATTTTGGTCTTTGAATTCTCGACGAAGATCGGGAGTTTTCATTTAAATTGGAAAAACTAATATTACTATTGGATAATAAAGATTCTATATTAAACATTTTTTTTTATTATTTAAGAAAAATTTAAAAATTAATAAATATTTTGTTACTTATTTAAGAAAAATTTAAAAAATTAATAAAAGTCTAACACATTTTTTTATTTTTAATTAAATTTCCAACACAACGATTAATCTTGTTAATTAATTACTTGTCCATATTTAATTTCAATATGTATTAAATTAAAATAAAACTTTATTATATTTATCCCCTTTTATTGTTAGTTGATTTTTAACACTCGTTTCACTGTAATAATTCTTGTTAAATTATCCTAAATTTTTTCTTATATCCTAAATTTAATTCATTATATGAGATAAAATATTTATAATATAATATGTAATTTATTTTCATTAAAAATATATACAAAATAAATATATTGTTCATTAGGTTGTGTATATATCATTTGCATTTCTATGCTGAGCTTTCACAAAATTCTGCTTTTATTTTGTAATCTTGTTTATAAGATTCATTATATCTATTTATAAATAAATTCTCAATATCATATTTATAAATATTAAATTATTACGTCTATTGTATTATAGGATTGAAAATAAAATCTCAATATCAAATTTATAAATATTAAATTATTACAGCTATTGTATTATAAATTAGATTGAAAATTAAATTTTTTTTCTATATCTATTTATAAGCAAGTAGTCAATTTTTAAAAATTTTAAACATTAAAATAAATTTAATTTTTTGTTATAACATATCGGAAAGGAAGTCCGTGTGTAATTTTATATCATTTTTAATGAAATTGACTTTGACGGAACGGATATAAACGGATCTAACTCCAATATGAATGTAACACTTTATAAAATAGAGATTTTCTGATATTAGAAAATTAATTTCTAGAAATTAAGATTAATAAAAAGGGATAATAAAATAATGAAAATTATTTTCCTAAAAATTATATTATTTATTTATATTAACAAATTTCTGAAAAAAAACAAATTTGGTTATTATTTTTATAAAATGGATATAAAAAGATATCATAAATATAATACCTAATCAAAATAATGTAAAATAGCATTGAATAGTTTTGTTTTGATATTTTGTGGAAGAACAAAAAATTATACGATTAACAAATTAAGAGAAAAAAAAATAAGCTAAAAAATACTAAAAAAATTAATGAATTTCCATCAATGCATTTTATATTGATTCTTTCTATAAGCCAATTCGAGGATAAATAGATATAATTTTTTTTATCATGAGTAATTTAATAATACAATTATTTTAAAATTTTTAGGTTTATTATTATTAATAATATTAATTAAAAATTATCTATCTATTATTATCAAAGAGCAGGCTCAGCTAGAAATTCAAAGAGGCTTTTATTTCCAACTTTTAAAAATCGTTAAATAGTATAATTTTAGAAATTTGCCGAGCTTAGAAATAAATTTTAAATCCTATCCGATATTAAATTTTAAAATTATATCTGGACATGAAAAAAAAATACCTCCAAAATTATTTAAAAAGAAAGTATTTTTAAAAAATATGGGTGAGTTAAGTCCATGACTCTAAACGAGTCAAAAAAATTTTAGATCCATGTCGGAATAATTTGAGGTTCGAAATTAATTGAGACCAGTTTAAAAGATGTATATAAAATTAATTTATTATATTTAAAATTGGAAAATAAATTAATAGAACTCAGACTAGATACAATATAATATTTAATTTAGAACATGACTTTATCGGATTACTAAATCATAGCTCTAGTGGCTATATAGAATTTCTTAATAATCAAATAATTCTAATTTATTATTCTTGTTTTATATTATACTAATCGTATTTAATATTTAATAAATAAAAATAGTTTTAGCTGTACAAGGTAAATATATAAAACATCTAAATTATTTGATAACAAATACAATACGATTATTTTCTAACAGCTAAACATGATTTATATTTTCTTTAAAGATTTGATTTTATTCACAATATATAAAAAATGTAGAGGCTCAACTTCATCGCATTCTTATTTATTTTTATTCAAATTTGGACTCATGTTAAATACAGATTAAATAAATTGTCTAGGAGTCACTATAGTGCTAATTCTCTCTTAAAATATTTAAGGAATACCCCTCTCCTTCATAAATTTTTGTTTGATAAATAAAACATGTCTAATATTTTACTTTTACCAATTTAATACTTTTACTTCTTTTCAAACCTAAACTGAAAGTCTAGTGAAACCCAATAAACAAATACTATCTGACCTCTAATGAAGATATATAATAATTAGAAAAATTATAATATAAATATGAAGCAATTTAATATATTAATAAACAATTACACAATCGAATAAATAGATCAAAATATATATTTATCATTTTAGACGTGTTTATTAATGATTAACTTTTTAGAAAACACTTCAGTCAATTCTGGTATACAATAAAAAACATAATATTACCATGGAATATGTACATAGATATAAATATTACTATATTTTTTAAGCTTATTATCAGATTATTGCAATACAAATTTTATAACAAGAATGAACATGGGATTAAAATATAGCACTTATATTTTTTAAAGTTAACAATATACTGGATTTTTTTAAGTCCCAGGTTCAATCCTGGTAAGGAACATAAAAATATTCAGGTTTTTCTTTGATGACAGATGTGTAAGGACATATACTAGGATGAATTTCTGAGTTGGGAGGTGCCACCCAGGTCACCGATAGGCTTGGACAGCCGGGTGCTAGGATAGGTCCATCACAAAAATGAAAGATGGCCAGACCTTGTGGGACATTCAAGGATGATAGATGGAACCGATAAGAATATCATTGTATTAATGAAACATCAAAAATAATATAATACCAAAAGCAAATTTTTGAATTTTAATGTTATAATTAATTTATATAAAAAAAATATTTTTTCTAAATATGCTATGAGAGGTTAGTTATCTTGTTTAAATTATTATTTTGTATAATTTAATAACAATTTATAATAATTTTGTTTATTCAAATTCATCATATTCCAATAATATAAAAATGATCAATTATAAAATAGTATATTGAATTTTGAGAATCATTTAGTTCATGCAGTACTACTACACTATATTTTATTGAAAATATTATCTATTTTATCCTCAATCCTGATTATAAAATAATCAAATTACTAATCACAAATATGAAAGAAATTATTGCTTTAAGTCTGGCTTTATACCTTAATCGAGAAAAATACAAAATATTTCCTTTTTGAAAGTTTTTTTTCCCAGTCATCATTGATATCATCCAATATTTTTATAATTCCTTTTTCCAATTTTTATTAAAATGGAAAAGCTATCTCTCTAAATCTAATCTGATGGTCATTTGGAGATATAAATAAGATCACCCCAATCCAATCTTAATCAGCAAAATTTCTACAAAGAGACAAGAGTTCAATGCATATAATTAAGTTTGAGGATCAATATATTTAAAATATTAATCTACTCTTAATATAGAATAGTGACATAAAGAAAAATTAGACATTTTGTGTTTTTCAAAAAATTATGATTTTCAAAGATATATAAAATGATATAGGAAAATCAAAAAAAAAAATTGACAAATAAAATAAATTATAACGAGATCTAGGTTTATAATCTATCAAGCAAATTATGATTGGGAAAATTTATAAATTTTGCAATTTGGACATCATAATATATTCCAAACAATATTAAATGGTGTAAAAAAAGAAATTTTATTAAATTTAAAATTTTTTGAATATATAGTAAAGATTTAAAAATTATATATTATTTAAAAAAAAATGATTAAATAATATAAATATGACGAATTGATTTATATCCTTTCATAAATAAAAATAATAAAATTTTTTATACATTTTTCAGATATGCTAAAAATAAAAAAAAACCTTATTTGTGTGTTACATCAATGCAACGCTAGTCCTTTACAATCATATAATCTTCCTTCCTTAATTATAGTGCTGACATATTTTGTTTGCTACAGCTTTGTTTAAAATAAGGTGATGTTGAAAATTAAAAATAATACTTAATTGAGATTTTTTTATTTGATGCGATGAAAGAATCGCACCTATTTGAAAGATAATATTTAGAATTTATTATTTACTTGAAAATCAAGGCAGCATCAAAAATTAGAAATCCTATAAATTTATAGATATAATTCATTTATTAATTATTTATATTGATCTTAACTCATCGTTGATCATGAAATTATTATTATCTTTATATAAAAGATTATTATTATAGATAATTTTATAATCTATTTAAGATATTCTTTTACATTCGCTTAAGGAATAAAATATTTCTTTTGCGTTTTAATTATAAAAGCAACAAATATAACTAACATATCAGATATATTTATATTTTTATAAATATTATGATAGTACATAACATAAAATAAATCATTTTAAAAAATATTTAATTTTTTTTTAGGATTTAAAAAAATATACGTTTTAGGTTTTAAATTTGATCTTATTTTTTGGAGAAAGTTTTGCAAGTGGTTTTTAAGACTAAGATCTTTATCAAAAACTAAGACCTTTAAAAAAATTTAAAAAATTAATTTTCAAACATTTTAAACATTATCTAATTATATTCCTAAACATAAATTTATAAAAATATATTTTAATATTCTACCTTCATTCATTCGAATAAAATATTATTTAATCTTTATAACTATATTAAAAAAAATTCATACATTATATAACGATTTTAAACAAATAAATAATAAATCACGTAATTAGCTTTAACCAGTAATATAAATTTAAATCTCCAAGATACAAAATAACTTTCTCTGCCATTTTGTTAAATATACCTGAAATAAAAAATTATAACACATGTTAATATACAAATCTTTTGGTTTTTCAAAATATCAAATTTTACAATATTCAAATTTAAAAAAAGGTTTAGACAATTGTCAATTCTATTTTTTACTATAAAACTGTCTTTAAAGTTGAAAAAGATCTTCTAGATATTTTACTAAAATGTATGAATCTAATGAGGGAATTGAGTTTTTTTTAACCATTTGCAGGTATCGTATCATTCAATATTATTATCATTTCACTTTCCCATTTATTCACATGAAAACAGCCATCTCTCTAAAGCTAATATGATGTTAATTTAAATAGATAAATAAAATCACTCTGATGTTCATTAGCAATATTTCTATAAGAAATAAGGCAGGTTTAAGTTGGGTTTAATTTATCGTTCTTAAGGATCTATCGAATTTGGCTTTAAAATTTTAAAAAACTCTTAATGAGCAGTAACATGAATAAAGAGATAATTTTGCTAGAAATTATATTTTTATAAGATCCGCTGTATGAAGCGGCAAAATCGATACAAAAGTTAAACAAGCCCTATATTTTTTCTAAAAGTATGGGTACCAGTTCTCTGCTAGGACTGAAGATACCAACTAGTAAACTATCTATGTCAGATTAGCTCTAAATAATAAAGTGTAATTATCACAGCTTTATATTAAAATGAATTAACATTCTTTTGGGATAAACTTAGACAACTCAGCTCGGTAATGGATACATCGACGAAGCCATATTTCAGAGATGAACAACTAGGAAAAAATATTTATATCTATTGCATTTTTACCTTGTATTATTAATATTAATACTAATCAATAATTAATCGTGTAAAGTAGCTAATAGATTTCAGAATTGCAAATAAATTAAAATAATAAATTTATGTTGAAATTTATTTTAACTTTTTACTACGATTCTTAGCCATTTTACCTGTGTATAAGGGTTATATTGGCGAATGAATACTTCACGTAATTCATCTAATAAATGAGCCATTGGATTAAATAATTATTAATAATTTTTTATTTCTTATCTTGAAATTTTATAGTAAATTCAAATTTCCATTCATTTTACCCCATCTCCCATGAAAATTTAAATCCAGACACCTGGATAATGATAGTGATTTTTTAATTTTAAACATTCATTTTAAATAAATTAAATTTTGATTTTGACCTGGATTAAACAAATACTTAGAAGAAAATATCCCTTGAAAATAATTTTTTATTATAAATATTATATTTATTTTTTTGATAATAATTTTACAAGAAATATTTGGTTACAAAAAAATATTTATCAATCTTTTACAAGAACAATAACTATCATTTTTTCATTTAAATAAATTATATTGGGTTCTTAATAAGCATTTAAAAAATTTTATATACTTTTATAAAAAAAAATTATGGAATAATTAAAAAGTAATTAAATATTTAGGCTTATATAATTCATGAAGTTAGACATTTTAAGCTGATAATACTATATGATTTTCTTAATATTTTTTTTATTAACAATAAAAAATTTTTAAATAAGGAGAATTTAAGCCACGTCCTAGGTCGATTTATTACTAAATAGCCAAAAAAATTAAGTAACAAAATTAAGTCTTACATATATTTTTAATTTTTACTAGATCGTACACCTTTAAGAACTCTAGGTATGTATTACAATAATTATTATGTTTAATATTCATAAGATCATTTCCAGACAAAGTTTTTTCAAGGTTATTTTTGAGGCATGTTTCAAGGTATTTTTTATTTATTTTCAAACAAAATGTAAAATACTTTCAAATTATAATATATATATATCTATTCTGATATTTTATATATTTATTAAGTCAACCTTATAATAATAATTTATTTATTTATATTTGCGGGAATAATATAAACGGTTAAAATATCATGACCAAATATTTAGTTGGTCATAGGATTTCTTAATTAAGAACTTTTTCAACATCCATGAGCCCAATCTTTTTAGTGGAATTGCATCAGTGAGACACGAGACAAGAATATACTATTATTAGTGATTATATAAACATTTAGTTCACATATGTTACTTGGCATCAAGCCATTATTCTAAACAGTATAATCAAGGTTAAGATCTGCATAGTTTATTCAATCAGCGTCTATCAGTTCGCATTCCTTTTTTTAGGTATAATTAAGATGGAATGTACAAAGTATGGCGTAAATACAGTCAAATTTCCAAATTTTATAATAGAATGATTATTTACTACTTGTTAAAAATTTTGATTACCATCGATTTCCACCTTGGCTAAATACCCATTCAATAAACTCAAATGAGGGTTACAAATTTTTATAGGTTATCCTATCTATAAATCTTAAATTGGAATCAAATAATCATGAGCACCTACAATATATTTAACAGGCCTCATATCTCTTTTACAGATTTTAGCATCGCATTCTATTGCATCTGTATTTCTGGCCCGCAATTTTGTTAATACAATCAAATACTCACATTAGGATCATCAGAATTTTACACTACATTAGAACCTCCTAATATATTTTCTGACAATACAGGCAATACATTCATGAAAAGACTATAATTTGAGATTTTTTTGCATAGAATAGAAATCCGGTTTTAATATTAATAAAGACGCAATTAACAGGCAGACAACATTAATGATGATATGCTGAAGAACTCTTTTAAATATTTTGGTCGTTAAATCAATAATAAATCAGATAACCCTCTCGATGACTTTTATTAAAGATAAACAATAGAAATAGCTATCCTTGTAAATAATGTTTATTTTATTAACTCAATATCCCAAAAATCCTTCTCATTTTTTTATATTTTATAATAGATATTTTGATTTTAGGAAAATTATTGAATATTTTTATTATTGTTGTCATTTTAACTCTTTTTCTTAGCTAATAACTTTATAATAATGTATTTCATATTTATATTTATATTTAAATTAATAATTAATATTTCGATAAAATATTTGTATTATAAACTTAAAATAATTTTTTCCTTTAAATTTTTTTCATCTTTGATTTAATCTTAATAAATATTATTCTCTAGCATTATCCATAAATTCAAATGATTTCTTTCTATCATATTCATATACTTAATACACATAATTGTCCTACCAATAATCACAAAAGGAATTCATTTTTATAACTTATAAGACCGTAAGACTTTAAAACGCTATGATTATCTGATTAAGTTGATCCCTATATGTCTAATATATATTTACTAAATTTTATAAACATCAAATAAAAACAAATGATTTTTTTATTTTATCAAGAACTGTATAATTTTATAATTTTCTTAATATTTTTTTAAATAAATAGAAAGAGGGGTTGCCGATTTAGGTAAATTTTTATTTGGATTAATATGTGCATTTCAGACTTTTTATAATTCACATATTAAAATAAGTAGCATAATTTATAAGATTTCAAAATTGGAATATCATTTTTAAAAATTTTGGTTATATCTATCCAAAATCTCAATATTGGTATGAACAAATAAAATTTTAGTAATAATGAAATAAAATACTTAAAAATAATTTTATCCTACAAAAATCTCACAAAGATTAAAATTGGGATATATTAAATAGTTGACAATGGTGTATAAATAAATTTAATTCTTGCACTATGTTATCATAACTTAAAAATTTTACATACTAATACTTTAAAAAAAAATTATATATTCAAACAAATATAGTAGATTGTCTTACTAACCACCTATACTCCATTTTTCGAAGAATTTATAGATATCAATTGAACTAACTGTAATAAATCAGACCTGCTCTCTCTCTCTCTTCCAACCACACCCACATTCTTCCTTTATTAAATATTACCTCATTTCAAGCCTTCATTTTACTTTTTACTGAATCCTCTTCTATCGTTGCGTCATTTTCGATATGATTTTCAACAATTTTAAAATATCCTATTCACTAAGAGTTTATCTATCCTTTAAATATTGTTAATTTTTAACCAACAGTTTTTACCAATTTAAAATTTCTTATTGCTTTTGGAAAAGAATAGAAACCATTTTATTCAAGCGGTTCTCTAATCAAGATCTCTCATAAAAATTGTAAGATGTCCCTCCCCCCTTCAATTTACCTCTTTTACCACATAGGTTAGAACAAGGATCCTACTAAAAGCTTATTTATCATTAATAATCCATGAGCTAATCAAATTGCCTGATAGCCTTCTAGACATTGCCATCAAATTATGATATTGTTTTGTAGACTTCTATCACAAAGTAATTTTATTCATTTATCTTCAACCGCTCATATGTCATCTATAAAAATTGCAAGAAGTTGAACTTCAATTACATTGTAAAGTTAGAACATATATACATTAGGATTTGTAAGTATGTAGCAGATATTTGCGTGTGCAACTTATGAACATCACTAATTTATTATTAAGATATCTTCTCTCAGTGAACCCTTTTACCTGCTAGAAAAGTTGAAAATAATTATCATATGATTTTTCTTTGTTTATATTTTTTCTTTAAGACTCAACTCAAACTCTGTTTTACATTTACATCAAGAGGAAATCTAATTAAATAAATATGCCACCTATAGTTGTGATCACCGTTTTACTCAGTTATTGCTAGCCTTAGTATTTGATATGCATTATTTATGTTTAATATATTTTCTTCTCTTAATGCTTAACAATATAAATAAAATACAAATTTTAGAATTAATAATAAAATAGTAAATGTATATAACTGGTCTCTGATAATTAGAAATATAATGTCTCAATTTTTTTTTTAGATAGAATTGAATTTAAATATTTAAAAATTAGTATGTTAGCTCCGGAATAACTCAATAGATGTGAAAAGGAATTTAATGAATAATCTAATTATGCAAACAACCTTCTAAGGATCTATAAGTCCTAAACCAGAAATTAGCCCCGTTTATGATTGCGTCAGGCCGTTTTCTATCTGATCTAAAAGTCTTGGTGGTTCGATATAGCGGGTATTTGCCGAAGCTCAATGGTCTCTGGATCAAGGATCATTGGGTATGCCTGAAAATTTATCCTTTGTGCAATATAAAATTTGTCTTCCTTTGGTGCCTATGGGGATTCTGCAGCCAGTGGAGAAGTGTGGGAAGGTTATTATACAATGTATGCGGATTCCTATTGCGTGGATTAGCTCATTGTTTGTTAGATGGATTTAAAGATTTTTGGAATGAATGACTTCCTAAAATTTATGCTCGTATCCATTAAGTAAAGAAATGAAAAGAAAATGGTCGTTTAGGATCATGTTAGATAATATGGATTCAACGATGCATGCTACAACTGGTCTGTCTCAATCCTTCTATTGGATTCGATGATGGGACATCATCAGCAGGTGTCCTCCATGGAAGAATGGCAACATCTAAGGAAAAATCATTTTGTGAGGTTTGGGACAAGATGGTGGGTTTCGAAAGTAAACTGCCAAAAATAAAAGCAGTGAAAGCAAGATCATTGGGAGATCTAATCCCTAAACCACCACTTTTGAAAGCTTGAACCCATGCTGTTTCATTGAATTTTATATTCAAAATATTTTCGGTTAGATCTTTTATTCCATTTCCATTACTGAGAGTTATAGGATATTTAAAAATAGGCGTCGAGCGCAGCGCATAGAGTATGCAAGTAGAAATTTTTGAAGAAGAAATATGATTTATGCGAAGTATATTAAGAATAGAGTGGAGGTAGGCATTGATTGCTTTGAATCTGCCTACTAGGGAACATAGATGTGCTAGCCCCTTCTTGGAGGTAATTTTGAATTGGGGATTTTTATCGGAGGAGTTTACTTATGCAAATTCGGATATTGTAGGATAAAGAATAAGACCAACAGGGCATTCCATTTTCTTGATAATGTGCACTGCCTTATTGGCTACCAATTGAGGTTCACTAATGTTCCGTCGTCCATATACGAGATGAGAGTAAAAATGAGCATTCTGAATTAATGGTTTGAATTATATTATCGAATATAAGACAAAATAAAAAGATCCTAATGCGTCACCTTGCTGGATGCCCTTGGCTGAGAGTATTTTTCGATAGTTGAATTGCAAAATATATGGAAATTGGTAACAAGAATTTGTTGTAGCATAGAAATGATGTTTTCGCTGATTTCAAGAATGCGTTACGGGAGAGGGTGTTGAATGCTTTATCAAAATAAATTTTGCTAAGTGTTTCATTTGTGGGATTGCTCTCCAAATAAAGTAGAGTAGTATGTAAAGCGGCCTCACATCTGCTAATGATCTCTACCCATAATTGAAATGGGATGAGAAGGTGAGAGGCCTCATATTTTATTCTGAAGGCAATCGTTTTAGTAACAAGGTGGATGAGAATGCTTCCAATAAGAATGTGGAAGAAAAAGCTGGGAACATCACTATATAAGATTTGGTTGTATAAGTTTGTGATTATAAGAAGTAAAGAAGTTTGTGAGATGATCACAAAGAAAGGTTGTGTCCTGAAGGAGTATGGTTCTGATTCCATCTAGGCTGAGAGGAGTCTCGGTGTAAAGATAGAATTGCCTTCCTTACTTCGTCGGTAAAATGGGAATCACAATGAGAATAAGCTGATTGGGTGATTGGTGTTGAAGTGAAAAAGGGTTTTTCAAAAGGAGGTGAATAAATCAATATATGTGGAAGATACTGAATAACTCGAAAAATTATGCGAGATGAAAAAAATACGAAACAAAGCGAACGAATATAATTGAGAAGACAATAATATGGAATATAATATTAGTGATATAAATATCGGATTCGTAAATTTTAAAAACTAGACAAATAAAATAAACGATAATATAATATAAAAAAGAAGAGCATTTTAATTTTTTTTGTATATTTATTGTTCCCGTTCGAGGGAGTAATGAATGAAAGGACATATATTATCGAGGAGTCTTTAATACAATGTTTTAAAAAAATTTAACTGAAGTCTTTATAATTTAATTTTAATACGAACTTTCTATTTTAAGAAAATTTTATAAGCGACCAAACACTTTCAGCGTATACAGGTATTATTATATTATTTAATATTATATAAATATCCTAATTTTAAAATTACAACACACAAAAAGATTAAAATGGTTGAAATTTATATTCATAAAGTCAATGTTAAGGTCAACAGTTTTCTTGAGTTATACATAAATAAGATATTTAAAAAAAAACATTTTCTAAACAAGGCTTGAAAAAGAAAATCATGAAAAAACAGGAAAACAATTTCGTTATTTGTTTATTATAGCACTTAGAACATTAAATAATTAATTAATGTTCCCCACATTTCATCATTATTTGATATTATTTTTTAATTAATTTATTTTTAAATGTAATCAAGATATATTAAATATCCATTCCTTCTTTATTACAGATGATTATGTTTTCTAATAATTTTCACATCTCATTATTTTAGAGGATCTCTATTCTATTGAGAATGATTAATCACAACCAATTATACCTTTTAATGATGTAGAGAGTTAACTGTTAATATTATTACTCCCCTATATTATAAGGAAATTTGATAATAAAGACCTAAAAATAATTATTAAAGCGCTCATATATTTAAAAAAATTTACTCCCATCAAGCCACATAAATGGAGGTTCATATAATACACTCTTTAGTGTTTTTAAAGGAAAATAGCTCTATACATAATTTAGAAGTATCTACGCTAATTAGCGTTGCCATATCTTATTTCATATTAAAAATCGTGTGACATAAGTTATATATAATTATTAACATGTAACATATCTAATTATCGCCAAAATAAAATAAATTAAAAGAAAAAAAAATTGTTCATTAACTATTATTCCTTTTGGTATAATATATTTAATTAAATATTTATGTTTTGTAAATATTGTTAATTTAATCGAAGACTTGAACCAAAACAAATAATGTTTCGACATCAGACAAAAATATTGGTTGGATAAGTCCATTCTTTATAATTATAGTTCATAATTAGTGATTGATATCTTAAATTAGCGTCATCACCTGGTATATTTTGAATCAACATCATGATGCAAGAGTTGACTTGCCAAATTATGATTTTCACTCAAGATTATCTAGCTAAAAATTTATTCAGGATATATTTTTGTTTAAACTTCATTCTTAGGTAACATATAGATATTTTTAACCCAGATATAGAGTTATTTATGGGTAGAACTACACCAGCAGTATAAATCTATATGTTAAGGCATCAGCAATAATGAAAGAAGTAGAATATAATAGGGCCTTCATCCAAATATACTTTAAAAATTTAAGCAAATAAGTTTATATTTAATTAGATTTGGGATATATGATTTGTATATCAAATCCAATATATTTATTCTATAAGTTTTAAAAATAACAAAATCGATTATGGATATCTATCAAATTTATGTATGCTCACATTAATTTTATTTCTTAATACTTTATTTATTTAATAAAAATAAAAAATTATCATAATTTTTAATTTACAAGTTAATTATAGATTAATTACAATTTTAAGTATCCAATTTATGAATAATAATATATTTTTATATAGTATTTTGGGAAAAGGGTATATATTAATAGATATTATTTTCTAATTGTAAAATGTTCTTTGTCTTAATACACTTTTGAAAATATTTACAATAAAACTTTTTAGCAGGGCGTGGATCTATGAGTTGTGAGCGGAGTTTGTTTTACTATTTTTTCTAAACTGAAAATAAACGCGAACTGACTTAACTCCGTATGACCCAAATCGATCATTACTCTAATTTAAATATACCAAGAAAATGTTGGAAGATATTCTGATTGAATAAGATTTGTAATATTGATTAATAAAATTTAGAATTTAGGACTAATTTTTATTATGTTGTGTGTATACTTTTTTTTAAATTGTTCTTTAATAAAATATACCGATTTTAATTTTTTTACTGAGATTATCATTATCATTGTATATATATTTAAATTGATTTCTGGTAATAAAATTTTTTATCTTTAGATGCTTAAAATACAGATGGTGGAATTTTGATTGTGAATATGTTAGGCCATTAATATATTTTATATTCACAATTTTTAACATTGGTATTCATGATAACGTGAGGTGGTGGTATGTATAGTTTTCCATTTTATCATTCCTTGATGGGGTTGCTTACGGTAATTATGGTTTCCCAGTTCAATTATTAGAATAATGGTAATTATTGTTAACCCTTGGGTTTAGGGCCGTAGTTAGAATTTCTTACTTGTAGAATATGACGCTGGGGGCCGAAAATTTAAATAATATTCAATCCTATTCTTGTTTTACTTCTCGGGAATTAATAATAAATAGGTTCATCTTTAAACTGGGATTTATTTGAAATCAAAATTCATTTTAAAATCATAAGAGGTATAATATACCATAAATTTAACAATTTAAAATTTAGGTTTAGACGGAATGTGGGAAAAATTTTGATTGTAAATTAGGTCCTGTTTGAGCTAAATTAGTTATTTCAATTGAACTTAGAAATTTCTCTTAGTTATTAAATATATATAGCTAATTTTTATCATTGTGCTTATTATTTTGGATGTATTGCAAATTTCCTTTCTTATTTATCATTATATATCATTAAACTACATTTTCTAGTTTTTATTTTTATTTTATTGATTAACGGTTTTCTCAAGTTCCAGGTCTCATCGTACTCCTTGAATTGACATTTCCGCATTATTTTTTTCCAACAATCTATTTTTTTTTAGTCCATTTGAATTTTGTTTTCAAACTTGAAATCTTACATTAGCACATTTTCTTCTCAATTTTTTTCATAAAGACCATTATGTCATATTTTGCAACAATATTTTGGAAGGTCTAACAGATTTGCTTTGATTGTATTCGTATCTAGATGTGATAGCTCCTCCTTGAAGATAATTATTAAATTTTCGAAATTTTGATCGGAGAAGTTAACTTGGACATGTTTTTGTGAGGTTGTGAATGAAACGAACGTCCCATCTCATTTCCTTGGTAATATCTAAGGCCATTACATTTCCAATTTTGGTCCACTAATGATTCCGTTGTTTATACACCAGATGTGAAGTTAAAGTGAGAATTTGGAATTAATGATTTGGATTATCTTATTGATTGCGAGAAGAAATAAAAATAACCCTAATGGATCACCCACCTTGTTTGATATTATCGATTGAGGGTATTTTTAGAGAGTTGTTGCAAAATGGATGGAATTGATAACAAGAATATTGAAATTTAGTGTAGAGTGATGTTCTCGGGAGATGATGTAGGCATTGGCAATATCAATTTTGATCGTCTCGCATCCGCCAATGTCTTCCATCCTTCTATAGACTTTTTTTTTATCTTCAGTTAGGCAATAAGTCTTGTCTGGCTCCAAAAAGAATGGGGTAGGGGCAAAAAAAGGAACATCACCATCTAAGGTTCGGTTTCACAAATCTGTGATTTGGAAAGATAAAAATTTCGGAGCTCATCAATATAGAGAGTTGTTCTCTGAATATAAGTTTCATCCCATAATGGCCTTGTGGTGAGTCTCGGCGGAAAGATAAATTTGCCTTACTTATTTCGTCAGATTAAAATCGGAAGCACAATGAGAATATGATTGTTGAATGAGGTGTTTAAATGTAATATGTATGAGTTTTATGTATCTCTTATCTTACTCGTCAGCTAGTTATTCATAAGTAGAAGCCAATTTGAGAGCACTAATTTTTAAAAAGTCACAATAGGAGAAACATTTTTTGTTATAAAAAATTATGCACCGTACTCTTGAAGATGGAAAGAAAGATTGCAGGTAGAATCTTTAATTTGTTGGGTTAAAAAAAATCTTGAGGATTTGTTAGGTAACCTAAAGGTGTTATAAACACAGAATAGGAATTTAAGCCTATCCGTTTTATTGATAAAGTTTTGTAGTTTCTGGTATTGAGAAATACGCCTGAGAAATAGGTAAAAGAAGAGTCAAATAAAGGGGGCTCTATTAATGTGCTGGGTAACCGATAAGCGTTCTGTGATAGAGGTAAAAGTCGTGAATGAGAGCAAAATTTAATAAATTTTCCATAACTCACAGCATCATATAGTAAATGTTTACGTTTCAACCAGGCAGATAATAGGTTCAAAGGGAGTTACCTTTGTTATAATATTATAACACGGTCACGGAGCAAATAAATTAATTGAGGAATCGGAGTAACTACAACTAAGAATAATAAATTAATTTGATAATGAATGAATTTAAAGCTATATATCCAGAAGCTAAAGTTAAAATTGATAAAAAGACAACCAATGAAATGAAGCGAAATCAATCAATTAGGCAGATTAAACAATTGTAAAATCATATTATGGGTAGGCGAAATAAAAGCGTGAACTCGGCTTACTATCAAAAATTAAGTTTTACTATCTAGCGTGAATGAATAAATATATGTAGAGGATTAATAATGAATAACTAGAAAAATGAAGCGAGATAAAAATTAAAAAAATTTCGAAACACAACACGAATATGATTGAGAATTATTAATATGCGATAAATGAATGTTTAATTTTTGTCAACTAATTAAGTTGAAAATTGTGCATTACTAAACCAATAGACAATATGGAATATAAAATAAAAATTAAATCTCGCTATAATTAATTTAGCTATAAAAAAATTTGTTTATATTATATAAACGGTTATTATTTTAAATTCCTTATTGATAAATAAGAAAATTTAGACTTTTTTTGTTTATTTATTATTCACGATCGAGGGAGTAATGAATGAAAGGGCTTAAAAATATTATAGAAGAGTTTTTAATGCAATTTTTTTTTAAATTTAATTTTAAATTTCTATTTTTAAGAAAATGTAATGGAAACAAGTTATGGTGGGCCTTACGATCCACATGAAAGTATTTTATTATATATTTTGATATTATATAATTATTCCTAATATTAAATAGTCAAAAAAAAAGGTGTAAATCTAGAAAACACAGAAAGATTGAAACCTATCTTAATTTACATGCTATAACATGTCAGGTTGATAAATAAACCTTGAAACAGGGTTTATATTCAAGTCAATGTTAAGGTCGTGTAATAAAAAATATCGTATATGCTATAAAATAAGGTTTAAAAGAAAATATTTTAGGGAACTAGACTTCAAAAAACTTATAATAAAGAAATAAAACAATTATCTATCTCATAAAATAATATAATTTTTTTTGTAATTTAGAATTTTTTTGCAACAATATATTATAAAAAATTCAAGACAAACGAAACTAATAATATTTCAGTAGTGTTGTTATGCGACTCGATTTTTAAAAAAGGGCAGTTCAATATTTTGCCAGATTTCATAGATCTCTTAAAGGTTTTACGCCAAAATATTTGCTAAACAACGACCAAACTTAGTCAAAAAAATAATAACTTGTTTTCTAATATAAATTAATGAATTCACCCCCCCCCCCTAAATATGGCTAAAAACAACATAGATTTTGCTGGATTTTCTATCGGATTAATGATTAACGCACTTAACCGACTATGTCACAGACGATTTTGAAAACATCAATTTTTTTAATATTTTTCTTAAAATAAACATATGACGTTTCTGACATCTGCTTAGTAATTTACGAAAATCATGAAAAAACAGGAAAAATTTTGTTATTTGTTAATCATAGCACTTAGAACATTCAAATAATTAAAATTAGTGTATCGTTATTTGTTATAAATTTTAATTTTTTTTTTAATGTAATCAAGATAATTTTTAATTTATAAGTTAAATATAGATGGGTTACGATTAACTACCCAAAATATCTTACTTTACTTTATAAAAATTTATATATTTTAATATTATATAGAATATCCCCAAATGAGTAGATATTAATCAATCTAATTATCTAATTTTAAATTGTTATATCATTTTCTTAATATATTTTTTGTAAAACATATATTTATTATTATATTTACAAAAAAATTCTAAGTAGAGCTTGGCACCAAACTCAAAGCTTTGAGCAGAGTTAGTTTTACCATTTTTTTCTAAACTGAGAAAAAACCCAAATTGACTTAACTCCGTGTGTTCCAAACCGATGATTACTCTAATTTAAATTTACTAAGGATATATTGGAAGATATTCTGAGTTAATTAGATTTATTGTATTGATGAATAAAATATAATTAGAATTTAGGACCAATTTTTTATTTATTTATGTATCATGTGTAATTAGTTTTTATAACGGTTAATAAAATACACCGTTTTCAGTTTTTCTACTCAGATTATCATTATTATTGTATATTTGCTGAAATTGATTACTGTTAATATAATTTGTATCTTTACGTGCCTATGATATCTATGGTTATCATAAATTGGTTCATTAATACATTTAATATCCACAATTAATAACATTGTTATTCATGACTGACGTGAGTTAGTGGTAAGTATGATTTTTAATTTCATCATTTCCTGATGTAGGTTTCTTACGGTAATTATGGTGTCCCAAATTAATTATTTAGAATAATGATAATTATTGTTTATTTGGGTTTAGGGCTGTAGTTAGAACTTTTTACTTGGAGAATATGACGCTGGGGGCCGAACATTTAGATAAATGATTATCCTGGTTTTATTTCTGGGAATTGATAATACCTAAGCTCATCTTTAAAATAGGATTATTTGAAATCAAAATTCACTTCAAATTCATAAGCAATATGCCAAAAAAATTAAAAATGTAAAATTTAGGTTTAGATGGAATGTGGAGAAAATTAGGATTGTAAATTAGGCCTATATTATTTATTTCAATTATAAAGATGAATTTTGGAATTTTTATTAGTTATTAAGAATTTCTTTTTATATGTAACTAATTTTTTTTCAATGTGTTTATCATTTAGAATGTATATTTACGGCTTTTCTTTCTTATTTAACGTTATAAACTACATACACATAGCTTTTTATCTCTTATTTTATTGATTAACTGATTTCTCAAGTTCATAGTATCATCGTACTACTTTGAATTCATATTTCTGCATTATCTCTTTCAACAATCTATATTTTCTCTAGGCCGTTTGCATTCTGATTTGAAATTTACATATGCACTATTTTCCTCTCAATTTTTTTCATAAAGACCATTATGTCATATTTTATTTGCAACAATATTTTGGAAGGTCTAACATATTTGCTTTGTGAGATTGTATGCATATCTAGATGTGTTAGGTCTTCCTTGAAGATGATTATGAAATTGTCGAAATTTTGATAACAGAAGCTAACTTGGGTAAATTTTGATTTTGTGGGGTTGTGAATGATAACAACGGTCCATCCCATTTCCTTGATAATGTCTAAGATCTTATATATTTCCAATTGAGATCCACTAATAATTCTTTAGTTTATATACTAGATGTGAAGTGAGTGAGCATTCGAAATTAATGGTTTGGATAATCTTATGGATTGCGAGAAGAAATAAAAAGAGTCCTACTAGATCACTTTTTTTGATGTTATCGGTTGAGAGTAATCATTGAGAGTTGTTGCAAAATTGATGGTAAGAAATTTGGTGTAGCATGTGAATGATGTACTCACTGAATGCAAAATAAGTTACGGGAGAGGATGTTGTAAACATTTACAAAATCAATAGATTTCTCTCCTAGTGAAGACGTGTAATATATAGCCAGCCAATGACTCTGACTAATTGAAATGTGGTGAGTAGGTAAGAGATTTTATATTTAATTCTTTATTTATTTATTTTAGCGGCAAAAAAATCGAATGTTTAAATAATGGCTATATGGTCTGATATATTTTATCTTCTGCAAGGCAATATGCCTGGCTCCAAAATGAATGGTTGGGGGCAAAGAAAGGAACATCACCATAAGATTCGTTTGCACAAATCTGTGATTTGGACGTGAAATTTGGAGCTGAATAATAGAGAGTTGCTATCTTGAAGGGGTTAATCCAATAATGGCTGTGAGATGAGTCTCGGTGGAAAGATATGTTAGCCTTCCTTATTTCGTCTGATTAAAATCGAAGCATAATTAAAATGAGATTGTTGAGTGAGTGTTAAAATGGAAGGAGGATGAGTTTTATGTATCTCCCATCTGAGTCTTCAGCTAACAAAACATAGTTTAAGGCTAATTTGAGACCACCTTTAATATTTATACACTCGATTTTCTTAAAAATAAATTTAGCTTTAAGCTCAATTGGAGGAGCTTTATTTTGTTATAAAAAAGATACCGCTAAATACTTGAAGATGGGAACAATGAAGATGGTATCTTTAATTTGTTAATAAATAGAAATTTAAGCCTCTTCATCTCATTGATAAAGTTTTGTAGTTTGTGGATTTGAGAAATACGTCTTAGAAATAGGTATTAAAAAGGTCAATTAAAGGGGGTTCTATGAATGTGCTGAGGAACGGGTAAGCGTTCTGAGAGGGTGAGCTGAAAGTCCCGAATGAGGCACCTGCTAATGATTTTTCCATAACTCTATATGCAGCATTATTTGGTAAATGTTTATGTTTCAGCCAGGAAGAGTAGATTATTGGTTCAAATAAGGTTGCCTTTGTTATAATATCATAACTCGGTCATGAAGCAAAAGCGTAAATCAAATAAATTAATCGAATAATTGGAGCGGCTACACTTAGGCATAATGAATTATGTGATAATGATGAATATTAAGCTGTAATCGAGAAGTGGGTTATAATTGATAAAAATACTAGCTAATGGATAACGCGAAATTAAATTAAATATGATGCAGATCAAACAATTAACATAAAATCATGTTATTGGTAGACGAAATGAAAGCGTGAACTCGGCTTACTATCACAAGATAAGTTTTATTATATAGCGGGAATATATCAATATGTAGAGTGGCTTGATAGTGAATAACTAGAAAAATGCTGCTAGATAAAAAATAAAAAATTCCGAAACAAAGCAAGCAGATATAATTGTGAATTATTAATATACGATAAATGGAAATTTAATTTTTGGTAAACTAATTAAGCGAAATTTGGTCATTACTAAATCATAGACAATATGAATATAAAAATAAATTTAAATCGCAGTATAATTAACTGAGCGATGAAAAATTTGCGTTTTAAATTAACAGTTTTTATTTTAAATATAGGATTAATAAGTCAGTAAAACTAGACAATTGAAATAAAACAATAATACAATATTAAAAAGAAGAATATAATACATTTTTTATAGTTTGTTTATTATTCTCGATCGAGGGTATAATGTATAAAATTAGATAAGTATATTATCGAGGAGTCTTTAATACAATGTTTTTTAAATTTTAACCTATGTTTATTATAATTCTAACTTTATATTTTAAGAAAACTTTATGGATTTCTATAGTCCTTATGAGTGTAGAGGTATTTTATTATATATTTTAATATTATATAAATATCCTAATTTTGAAATTACAAAAAACGTGTAAAACGAGATAACACAAAAAGATTTAAACCCATTTTAATTTACATTCTCTAACATGCAGGTTGCGAAATAAGCCTTGAAACAGAGTTTATATTTAAGTTTATATTAAGGTGAATAGTTTTCGCATGTCATAAAATATCGTATGTGCTAATAGGAGGTTTTAAAAAAAAATATTTTAAAAATATAGACTTCAAAACATTTATAATAAAGAAATAAAACATTTATTTTTTTTAATATATAATGTATTATTTTTATAATTTTACGATTTTTTGAGATACAATATACTATAACATATTCAAGACAAACGAAATTAATTTATATTTAAATTCCTTTAATAAATATAAATTTTAGTATAATATTTCGGGTAATAGGAGCGTGGATAAATGTCATCTGAATTACTAGCCACACCCCCCCCCCCCCTCCCTTTAACTTATTATCTATGACATTATTTTGTCTAAATATTTTACCAAATTTATATTTATTATTTCATGTACCCTATCTAAAATAATTTATATAATTAAATAATCTAATAAAAAATAATATTCAAATATGTCCCTTAGCACCCTCTAGAAATAATAGCAAATTCTTCATTTTTATTTCTATTACTCAATAAATTTTTTTTAGTAATTTCTTTCATTAAGCTATATTCACATAAAAAATATTTTTTATTAATCATCATATAAAGTATGATTAAGAAATAGGAAAATGACTTTTTCGAACAACGACTATGCCAAAATGTTAACTGAATCACGTGTCGTTGAGTCCGATTTTATTTATACTATCCCCTCAAGTATCACCAATTTGTCTACAAAAAAATTATGACCCTTGCTGGATTCTCTATCGGATTAGTGATCAATGCACTTACACCGACTATTTTATAAACGATATGTGAAAACATTATTTCCAATATATTTTTTTCTCTTTAGCTTTCACCTTTTCTGGTGGTAATCTCCTTCAACATCTCTCTCCACTTTATGTTATTCATACAATCTCTTTTATCTATTTTATACTTCTTTATATTGGCTCTAACTTTATGGCCCCATTGAAGTTTTGGCCTTCCTCTTTTACGTTTGCCCATCACTTCCAAACTCTCAACTTTATTTCCTATGTAGTTCATAGGCCTTCTCATTGTGTGCCCATACCACCTAAGTCTGTTTACCATTAACTTAGTCTTAATGGGCACTACCTTTAAACTACTTAGTATTCTTGTACTGCGCACTTTATCCTTTCTTGTTACCCCAGCAATCATCCTCACTATTGTGAAGCCTGCTGAAGTACCTGTTGTGCTACGGACCATTGTTGTATGTCCCATATACATATCCTGTATTATTCTTATATATTTTTCGTGAACATTTTTGTGGCGTAGCGCCCACCAGATAAGTTTTCTTGGGATTCTATCGAAGGCCTTTTCTAGATCGAGAAAGACCATGTGTAGCTTTTTGTTCTTTTCCCTGTATTTTTCACTCATTTGCCTAATTGCATGGATAGCATCGGTTGTTGATCTTCCAGGCATAAAGCCAAACTGTGTCTCTCCTATTTCGATTATATCTCTTAATCTTTTTTCTATTATTTTTTCGTATAGTTTTAGACAGTGTGACATTAGTTTTATGCCCCTGTAATTTTGACAATTGTGTGGATCCCCTTTATTTTTGAAGATAGGAACTAGATAGCTCTGCCTCCATTTTTGGGGGACCTCTTCATTTCCAAGTATTTTATTGTACAGATTTGTGAGGAGATGTATTCCATCATCTCCTAGTGCATTAAGGCTTTCTATTGGAATATCGTCTGGACCCCTAGCTTTGTTGTTTTTCATATGCTTGAGGCATGTGATTATTTCTTGTTCTGTTATAGGTTGTACAAGGTTTTGACAAGGGGAGTGTTCGTCGAGATGCAATATGTGGGAATTAAAGTTGAGAAGCTCCTGAAAATATTCTTTCCATCTATTCATTATTTCTTTTTCCTTTATTATCAATTTCCCATCTTTATTTTTGATTACTTTCGGAGCTCCGGGGTGGCCTAATGGGTAAGATGTAGGCTTGGAAACACGAGCATGAACAAGGACGCGGGTTCAATCCTGGTAAGAACCATAAAAACTTTCAAGTTTTTCTTCGATGACTGATGTGTAAAGACATATGGTATGATGAATTTCGGAGCTTAGAGATGACACCCCGGTCACCGACAGGCCTGGACAGCCGGGTGCTAAGGATACCTGTCCAATAAACAAAATGAAGGACACAAATGAAAATATTAAATTTTTAATAAACAAAAAAATTAAAATAATTAATTAGAGCTTCCAAAGATTTTGCAATTTATACCCATCTTATTAATTATAATTTTTTTATCATTTTTATAGTTATTATTCGTCTTGAAAATTAGTTGAAATAACAGAAAATAATTTTCAACTTATATTTTGATTAGTACATAAGCTATATGCATTAACACACAATATTTTTAAATTGTGTAATGTTTTTTTTTGCTTTTTTTAACTTGTATTTCTGCAGTTCTAACTTTTTATCTGAAATATACTTTCGTACGAGTAGCAAAATATATTCGTTTATGATGACACATTTGTGCAAGTTATATCATCAATTTATAAATTAGTTGATTATATTTTTCAGCAAAATAAAACACAAATAATATACCAATATTCTCATATATCAAAAATACTACTATTTTAACTGATTGTCTTTTAGTCAGTTTTGATGTGTTTGTTCTCACTTCATTAAAATTACAGATACATTTAATTCAATTTTAATATATGAAGATAAATTAGCTAATAAACAGAATTATGTTTAACCATTATTTTACATATTTTATAAAAGGTGCTGCTATAGTGCCAAATTGTCAGTGTATATATTTATATAACCTATTTTGATGAATTAGTCATAGATTTCTTAATATAAAACCAAAAATATGCCATCCAGTAAATTTAATGCATTCATAATTATTTACTATTAAATTATCAAACAGATTTATTTTTATTATTTAATCAAAAACTAAATATCCTATCATAGTTTCTCTATAAGAGGTAGAACTGCCATAATAGAAAATATATTAGTTATAAATAATTTATAAAAAGATTTCATATCACACAAAATAAATTAACACTTTTTCCCTCATCACATATCTTATATAAAAATTTTATCTTGCAGCTCATTCGATAAAAATTTAGGCAAATCAATCAAAACAGAATGCGAGTAGATGAAGATAAAAATGCAACATTCAACAATAATCTAATAGTATATGTTTCTGCATAAAGGCTAGATACCAATCATTAAATATATTTTGACAAACAAAATTTAGAATATAAATTTTCAACTATTTTCCTTTGACTAATAAAGGGATCTATTCCAATTATAACAAATAAATAATAAAGAAGATGGATTTCCTAATTTTATTTTTTAGTCACTGATTAAAGTGTGCCTAGTTGAATTATATGAAGGCTCATACTCCATATAATTACGTCAACAAGGATAGTAACCAACTTTGTAACCGAGTTATATAATTGTGGAACTACATCCTAGCTGTATATATGTATTTAGGAATGAGTATAGTAATGTATGAAGTAGAATATAAAAGGTCGTTCTTCCAAATATTTTTCTAAAATTCAAATAAGTTAATAATCTGATTAGAATACGTTGTGATTTGTATTTCAAATTCAGCATATTTATTCCTTATATTAAGCTATTCTGATTTTTAATTAATGAGTGTTAAACTAATAAATTCATAAATAACAAAATCTAAGATGGATTTTATTTATCAAATTTCTCTAACGTAATAAATTATTTTAATTTTAATACTTTATTTATTTTAAATAAAAATCAAACATATAATTTTTAATTCATAAGTTAACTATAGATAGGTTAATTTTAAGTATCCGAAATATCTTACTTTGTTTTATTATAAATTTATATATTTCTATATTTATGAATAATAATATATCTTTTTATATAGTCCATTTTGGTAGATACTAATAAATTTTATTTTCCAATTCTAAAATATTATATCCTTGTAATTGATACATTTTTTGAAGGGTATATATTTATTATTAATATATATACAAAAATACTTTTGAGCAGGGTTTGGAACCAATATCTGAGCTCTGATCGGAGTTTGTGAGCCATTTTTTTCTAAACGGAGAATAAATCCAAGCTGGTTCAACTCCGTGTGACCCCAAAGGGAACTTATTATAAATTAAATTTGGCGACGATATGTTGGAAGATATTCTGATTGAATGATTTTTAATATTGATGAATAAAATATAATTAGAATTCAGGACTAGTTTTTAATTTTTTTATTTGCATGTTTAATTTTTTTATATTATCTTTAATAAAATATATCGTTTTTTGTATTCTGCTGGATGAAACTATCGTTATTATTGTGTATATTTTTTATTTTAGACTATTTGCTGAGACTGATTTCTAGTCCAATCATAAAATTTGTATCTTTATCTGGCTTATGATATCCATGGTCATAATTTTAAATACGTTGGGTCATTATTATTTTATATTTACAATTTATAAAATTGATATTCATGACTGAGGGGAGTTTGTGGTTAGATATGGTTTTTCATTTCGATAATTTTCTTGTGTTACTTAAGGTAATTATGTTCCCATGTCAATCATTTAGATTAATGGTAATTATTGTTAGGTTTAGGGCCGTATCTGGAACTTTTCACTTGGGAAATATGAGGTTGGGAGCTGAACATTTAAATAAATATGTACTTCAATCCTATTCTGGTTTTCGTTTTTAAGTATTAATAACAATTAGGCTCATCTTTAAAATGGTATTTGTTTGCAATTAAAATTCACTTATAAGAGGCAAAAGGTGCAAAAAAATCAATTTTAAGATTTAAGTTTAGAGGAATAAGGAAAAAATATCTTCTATAAGATAGGCCCTGTTCAGGCAATATTAGTTATTTCAATTATAATGATTGGAATTTATTTATTATGAGTTCCATTTTATGTCGCAAATTTTTTTTCAATCCTATTTTTGAATGTACATTCTCGCGGCTTTTCATTCATATATATCGTTATATATCATCACATTTTCCTAGCTTTTATCACATATTTCGTTGATTATCTGTTTTCTCAAGTTCACAGTCAGATTTACTGATTAAATTTTTTTCCTACAATCTATTTCTTCTAAGGTTTGTATTCTGCTTTTAAAACTAAAAAGGATAAATAGCCACTATTTTCTTCTCAATTTTCATTGCGATCATATGTCACAATTTATTTTCAAAAATATTTTGTAACCAAATTGCATGAAAGATTGAATTATTATTAGGTTTAAGTAACATTTTTTATTAATCCTCTGCCTTACTAGCTAATTTAAAAAATAAACTTTTAATATAACTACTAATCCTACACAACATTTGATTAAATCCTAAAAATCCAAATAGATCTGAGATTAATTTCAAAAAAATTTCTTAGCAGTATAAAATCTTTTAAAACATGATTATTTATCGTCCCATTTAATATGATAGGCAATTATTTTTTAAATACATGCATAATATGTTACATTCTTAATTAAAAAATTTCTAAATGTATAATATTGATTTATTTTATGATTTATTATTTTTAGTGAAGTTTTATAAGGATTTAGGTAGATTTATTTATAAAAAATATTAAACTACAATTTAATTGCATATTTATTATTATTAACAAAATAGTAAGGAAAGCCGGTATAATATAATTAAATTTATTCAAATTAATAAGAGAATTATGTAAAGAATTTACGATATTAAAGATTCCTTAATATATTTTGTATATCTCTTATGATATTTGAGATTAGTTAAAATTTATCGGGTTTAGGTTGTACAAATTATAAGTTTTAATTTTTTAAAGAATTGGATCTAAATAATACGATGGCACTATTATGGAACATGAAAACCATGTAAAAACTATACCTAATCCTAAACAAAACTAAGAAAAATGTTTTTTTTTTAAATGACAATAATATCTAACAAACCCGTTGATCTAAAACAAATCCTTGGGCTGACCATAATCTAACACTCCACCTTCTGTAAAATGTCTAACCAAAACCTTTGACAAAATTCTCAGCTTACCTCCTGTCTTAAACATTCTCCCATTTCATCAAGGCCATACAAAAAATTTAGCTTTCAGAACATTTTGTAAAAAATTTTTTGAAATAATTTATAATCTCAATTTACTCAATTCAGAAATTAGTCTAACCGTTTGTTCAAATATAGCAATGGCATCTTTATTATCTCTTCATACTTTGCTATTCCCATCCTTCCTCTCCGCTTATTAAATAAGGTACTATCAGCCTTATCTCACCAAATGATTACTTGTTAGGTCAAGCTTTAAATATGTAGTAGAACCTCTTAATTAAAAAAACAAAACGGGCTACCTTAAGTCATATAGCTGCAATATAGCCCAACTTCATAGTTGCCTAGATTGCGAGATACCAATAATTGCTAAGGGCTGACAGGCATCAAACTGTATCAAATGCTAAGACCATGACAGTGCCATTCATAAATAAATAAACTCTACCGTTTATTTCTAAAAAAAGGAATGAATTCTCACTATCTTAGAACCTCGTAATCCTGATGGCCAGAAAATTATCCCTGAGTTATATGTAAATCTCTTCTAGGATTTTACAGTTAACACCTTCCCCGTAAATGTTAAACCTTTTATTACATACTACTTATTAGTCACATAGTCTATTTTGTAGTCTAACTTATGTTGTATAGCATTCCTTTTATATAAAAATCATCTATTTAAATAAAAATTCGTATGTTTAGATAAAAAGCCTTATATTTATTTTAATTGCGAGTATTTCAAATGCAACCTATAATTCAAAACTGACTATTTTTGCAGGCATTAATATTATTATATAAAATTTAATAAGAATAAAAGAATATCTATTTCTCCTTTTCTATTTAAAAAAATGTCTCAATTTTATATATTTAACGGTATTCGTATGTATGTAATTAATAAGTTTGAAATTTGATTTTCTCTTCCTTTCATTTGAATCCATATTTTTGAATATAACGCCCTTAGATAATTATATTTCTAATAGACGAAAAAAAAATAAAAATCCAAGAAACTTGCTAAAATTGTAGAGCGGTTTTATATATTTATTTTTTTTTAAATAAAAACCTTATAAAATATATTGGTCTTTCCAAAAAACTAGGTCTAGAAAAGCTAATATAAGATTATCTGTATAAAATATTTAATTAATTTCTGGAAATCAGTAAATATTCAAATTTATAACCAAAATTTAAAAGAAATAATAGATAAGCATGTAAAAACATTGATTATCTCATTTTCCCAAAATCGAAAATATATCCTATTATTTATTACTTTGATATATAGATCTTTTATGCCCAACAAAAACAAGTACTTAACGATTATAAATTTTTAATTAGATTTGTCATTTTTATTTATTAGATTTATTCTGAAAATTATAAATTTTTTAATATATTGATTCGCTTGTATTATAAAATATATTTCAATAAAAATTTTTGTAGTTTTCTAAATTTAATAATTTGTGAAAGTTTTAAAATTTTATTGGAAATTTTTGATATAATTTTAATATTTAATAACTATTAATAACACTTTTAAGAAATATTTCAACTATAATAATTTATTTTTAGATAACTCATTAATAGGTAATTATCTATATTTTATTGTGTTTGAAGTGATAATTAAACTAAAAATTTAAAAATAAGATCAATTTTCTAGTGAAGAATTTATAAACGCATTATATTATATCAGTTTTTGATGATAAAAATATAAGTTGAATGATATATGTGTAGTTTCATTATTCATTTGCACAAATAAAGATTTAAAATAGTTTAAAATAAAAATATTAGTATTTAGCATAAATAGCAAGGAGAATGAAAAGCGGTGTAATATAATGACATTTGATCAAATTAATAAGAAAGTTATGTAAAGAATTTTCGATAACACATATAGAAAATTAATCAGAATGTTTAGGTTGTAATAATTGTAATTTTTAACAAGGAAAATAGTTTTTAACGCAGATACATTATTATTTTTTTTTAAAAATCGCTCTTAACATAAGGTATCAAGATGTTGACACTATTTGTGGCCCTCCACTGTTATAAAAATTCTAGATTTTATGAAAACCAATTAAAAACATATTCCTATTACTAAATAAAAGTAAGAAAAATGAATTTTTTTTTAGATGACATGACAATAATCTGAATACAAACCAGTTGAATCTAAAATAACTCCTTGTGCTGTTCATAATTTAGCACTCCGCCTTCTGTAGAATGTCTAGCCAAAACCTTGAACGACATGCTCAGCTTAGATCTAATCTTAAACATTTTCCCATCGCATCAAGGCCTCTTTATTATTTGCAATGCTTATGTTTGCTTATATTTTCTTAAAATTTATATCTTTTTGCGCATTATCCTTTTTTGTACAAAGAAATTAAGCTTTTGGACCAGTGAAAAACCTTTTGAAAGATTTTATAATCTCAATTTGACTACTCCATTAAGAAATTAGCCAAATCTCTTGCTATAAAAATGAGTTGGCATATTGCTACTCAAATTTTTCTTCTTACCGCCATTAAATAACTCAGTATTATCCGGCTTTATCGCACTTAATGACTACTTGTTAAGTCAAGCTTTTAATATGTAGCAGAACCTCTTAATTAAATAACAATAAGGGTTACCTAGGCACATTGAGCGGGCATAAAACCCAACTTTATAGTTCCCTAAATTGAAAGATACCAATAATTTTCAATAGTAGACAGGGATCAAACTATATTAAAAGTTAAGACCATCAGAGTGTCATTCATAAATAAATAAACTCTACCGTTTATTCTAAAAAATTAATTGAATTCTCAATATCTTAGCTTATCGTAACCTTTCTCGAAGAACTATTTTCGCAAGCATTAATATTATTTTTTAAATTTAATAAGAATAAAAAAGATATCCCTTTATATATTTGGGTTATTCTATTCAAAGAAAATTGACGTAATTTTATATATAATTTATTCTTATGTAACTAATAAGATATAAATATGATTTCAATAATTTTTCATCTGATCATATATTTTAGATTATAGAAGCCATTAGATAAATATATCTCTAATAGACGAAAACAATAAAAATCAAAAAAAATTAGCTAAAATTATATAGATTTGTATATTTATTAATTTTTTAAATAAAAACCCTATAAAATATATTACTTATTCTTAAAGCTAGGTACAGGAAAGATAATATAAGATTGTGTAAATATACAATTAATTTCCAGAAAAAATAAGTGTTACTTTTCTAAATTCAAATCATGGCAAAAAACAAACAAAAATATAAGGAATAATGGATAAAATATACTTCTTTGCTACTTTATTTCTTTATATTATTTTTTTCATGATGATCTGAGCAATAAAATATCACAGTGGAAATCATTATGAATATCTAATTAACATAATTTTTCTTATTACCAAAATTTGAAAGAAATAGTAGATAAGCATATAAAAAAAATAGATTTATCTCATTTTTCCAAAATCGAAATAATAACCTATTATTTATTATGTTATATAGAAAAGAAATGCTATAAATGTACATATCGATTATATATTTTTATATATATTTTGTCATTTTTATTATTAGTGTTTTGAAAACTAAAACGTTTACCTGAAAATTATTAATTTTAATATATTGATTTGCTTGTATTATAAAATATATTCCTATAAAATTTTATTGGGAATTTTCGATATAACTAGAATGTTTAAAAACTAACTAAAAATAACACTTTTAAAAAATATTTCAACTTTAATAATTTAGTATTAGATACAGAATGTATAGGTAATTAGCTATATTTTATTGTGTATGGAGTGATAATTAAAAAAAGTGATTTAAATAATATATGCCATTTTCCAACGGCATAAATAAATACACTAATTTTAAATTTTTCTTGGCCCACAACTTTCCACAATTGTTAGAAACTATATCACCCCAAAATAATGAATATATTTCAAAAATCTAATAAGTTTTTATATTTATTTAAAAAATTAATATAAGGACCTTTTTTTCCAATCATCTTGCCAAAAACAAAAATATATAAAAGACAATTTTTATAACTTTATTTATTCTTAAGGATCCCTCACTTAATAAATATAACTAGATGAAGAATCATTCATATAGATCAAAGTCAGGATATGAAGCTTTCAAAGAATTTATAAGCTCCTGTTTTAAAAGTGACTATTATAAATTCTCTTACTGAAATAAAAAGGCCTGAAAATAGCATTTAATCCCAAAGCAGATTTATAGACACAATACTACAATCAATTTTTTTTTTACAAATATATTAACAAATTATTTACATACATACATAAGTATTTTATGTCATTTATTATAAAAAAATGACATTTATGAGAACAGCTGAAAACATTATATCTGAACTTAAAGCAAACTAAAAAAAAAATTGGGCAAATGTAGATAATAAATCATAAATTATATATCTTTGTTTTATCAAATGTTAAACTTTATAATTTAATATTTGTTTACTTAACTTCCAGTAACAAGTCATTCACTTCAATATTAGTATATTGTTAGTAGAAGAATACTATGAAATAAATGTATTTATCAAATTCTTAGATATTTAACTCAAATAATATAAGATATTTGAGTAATCAGGCACCACAAATCTTAAAATATTATTACCGCTGAATCCTACTGAATATATTGGAAATCTTGATAGAGAAAAAATTATCTATTTTACAGATTTTTATTCTGAGGATGTTAAAGTATCCCATCATTGGCACTACTAGCTAAATGCAAATTATGATGTAAAGGGTTAACTATGATTAATAGTATTCCAAAAACTGCTATATTTGATTTGCATAATTTAAAACACATTTTATACTACTTTAGGCACTGATGAAATCATTGAAAAGATAGCTTGATCCTATAGAATATTAAATTTTAGATTATAAATTTATATTCTCTTCTTAATAATAAAGTTGTGCATTAATCTAAAATAATTAATATGTAGAACAAATTTATGCTTAAAAAATTTATATTTTTTTGCTAAGTTTTTTTAGGCGACATTTATTTTATAATAATTCATATTCCGGTTATATTATATTTATATACCTTTGATATTTTATAATTAATCTTTATTTGATTCTTGTACATTAGATATTGTTAATATTATAGTCTCTCTAATAAATTTCTAATACATAAAATATTTTTAAATAATTCTAAAAATTTTGTAATTATTATCCTCTGTGATTCTGGCTATATGGAAGTATACGCTAATGTTTGGGGATTGAGAACCAAACTGTAACAGGGACAGACTGGTCAGTAAATCTAATAGGAAAAAGCTGCTTTGAGATTTCAAAAATTTGAAGATTATTAGAAAAGAAAAAATATTTTTTAAAATATTTTATTTTCTGGTTAAATTAATATAGCACTATAAGCGCTACTATAAAGGAAATAAAAATTTAAAAGGTAAGGCCAGTCAAAAAATGAATTTCTTAATTTTCATTGGATCTAAAAATGGGATCCAATAGAAATTAAATGAGGAATAAATATTTCATATTTATATTGTTTTAAATAAATAGCCCAAGGTAAATATTTATATTTATTTATAAATATATACAAACAATATTTATAGTTTAAATATAGTAAATAGGGAATTCGGAATCTCTTGATTATAAATCATTTACCTAGAGCGATTTAAAATTTTTTTAATTTAACCGGCTAGCATGGGAAGAATACCCAAACTGTAAATTTCTAACAGTTTTGCCATGAACTTAAAATACTAAAATGTCTATCGCTGAAATTGGCTGAAATTTATAGGGTAAATACTCTACACATGCTGAAATACAATTCCTCTAAAATCAGATTATTAAAATCCAAAAATCGCTCTCAGTTAATGGTTTAAAATTGAGAGATTCCGAAACCCCATACGACATATATATATAATAAAATAGAATTTTATTTTTAAAAATGGAGTTTATTTCCTATTCTATTTAATTTTAGTATAAAAATAAAATATTTAAAATTTTGAGACATATAAAAAGATATTAATTTTATGTGGTAATAAAAATTTCCCAGTCTAGTCCAAAATCTTTTCCCTTTCCCTGATTTAAAATACTAAACAAAAATTTATTACTATTTATTAAATCGATCTATAATCCTTTTATATGTGCACTAATAATTAAAAAATCTTGTTATTCTAAAAATTTCCTACATTAAAGCCTTTAACATATATTTTATTCAAATACCCTAGAGTTGTTTGCCTGATTTAGCCTTTATCTTTAATAAAAGAAACTGCCCAGATTAATGCTGTTTACTAATACATCTTCTAAAAACCTCTTAACATAAAATATGTATATATTTATTAATGCTGTTTACTAATACATCTTCTAAAACCTCTTAACATAAAATATGTATATATTTATTAATCCTAAAATTTTAGTTTAGAAAAGCAATTTAAGATAATAAGTTTTTTAAATAAATACAATTTCATATTTCGGGACTAAATATTTTCTATCGATTTTCTAAATTCAAATCATGGCAAAAAACAAACAAAAATATAAGGAATAATGGATAAGTAAACTTCTTTGCTACTTTATTTCTTTATATTATTTTTTTCATGATGATCTGAGCAATAAAATATCGCAGTGCTA